TCACCAGTGTATTGTTTGCCTCTGTTATATTTTTATAATAATCACATTTCACATTCCGGTACATCAGAATCAATTACCTTCACTTTGTGCAGGCCTAGCTAGGCCAAGTAAAGCAAGGATTGAGTTAGTACGTCGGTCGCGCGGCCTTATGTAATATATTGGTCGTGGCCTATCATTGTCTGCGAAACTAGTAGTTCTGGATCGGCTCTATGCATACTTATATATGTGCACGTGAAAGCACGTGGTATTGTTCATGATATCATTGGCATTGGGCTCTCTTTCTGCTCTATTTATCAACTGTTTTGTCTGTGCTGTTTGATGTGTAACAACGTGTGGGTGGTTGGAGGGTGCCACTGGCAGATCCTACTTCTTTACTTTCCCTCAGTTGTTTCTGTCTGTTTGTGTTACTTTTTTCCAGCACTAAATGACCATTACTGTGTCGATGTGCTTCTCCTTACTCAACAAACAAACAAACAAACAGGCAAACGAGCATGCTAGGTGGGCGGGTGATCTGGTGTGGTTTGATTTTCCTTTCCTATGAAACATCAATCGTCCTTATTTCCCCTTCTTCTTTTTTATGTTTGTTATTTTCTTGTAACACCTTTAATCTTCTGGCGCTCATATGACTTTATGCAGTTGCGAGCGCCGTAAAACCTCTGTTAAAACGTTTTTTAAAATGACGATTTTTCCATTGTGCCGATGTGCTTCTCTTTACCTTCACTCAAACTCAAACAAAATTACACATTGTTTACTTGCACTGAAAGTGAAAGAGGTACATGCTAATGACTAAACACTTTCAAAAGTAAAATTTTCTTCAAGCTTGGCATTCTCAACTGTACGCTGTCGACAGTAATCGAATTTGATTTGAGTAACCCTCTCTAAACCAAAGAAAATCAAGATTTTGGTAAAAACTAACAGACTCCACTGTAATTAAAAAAAAAAAAAATTTTAGCTTTGCGTCTGTCTCTCCGTCTGTCTGTCTGCTGATTGTGGTGTTTGTAGCTCGCCCAGTCGTCTCGTCGCCTTGTAAACGATCTTTATTGTATATCAATGGGGGCGTACACTATTTACACAATAATGACTCTTTAATGAGCCCAAACAATACCTGTAGTAACACTAGCTATCTTCCCTACATGTCCATATTGCCATGTATGATGTAAATAGTGCGTTGGAGTGGTAGGTGATGTATGTGCGCTCTGCCTGGTGAAAACTGTTCCTGACGGAATAGGCCTAATTAAATTTGGCCATTATAGTTTTATAGCGCCGACAGGTTGAAACAAACAAACAACCTCTTTCTTTGTATCCCTCTCTATACGTAAAATAATTTGTACCCTGCTCTCAATCAGTCCATATCTCTGTGGGTGGTTGGTGGGTGCTCTGGTGTGGTTTGCTTCTTCTTTCCTATCAAACGTCTATCACCCCCGGGGCAGTGCCACTGTTTGTAGTGTCTTTAGGCCATTCCCAAAGGGGGGACATTTCTTGTTCAAGCACAGTGGAATTGTAAATGGGCTGATTCATCATGTCACGCTCTTAACTGTGCCTGATCTATAACAGGGAACTGCTGCTTTTTGTTTCCTAATCCTTACTATTGTCATTTTCCTCAACTTCTTTATTTTGTATGTTTGTCACACGCTTGTGACCTGCTATTTCCGGGGTGCCTTGATAGTCGAAGCAGACCTTGTGCTGTTGAAGCAAGAGAGGTGAGCAAAGTAAGTCTGATTCCCTCTAAAGAGTTCTCTGTTGACACCCACCCCTTGACGCTCATATCTGTCCCCGTAGAATTATGCAAATTTAAAAGGCCAAAATATGCACAAAAAAGCAAAATTATGCAAACATTATGCAAGTTAGTGTAACACCATTCGCGACATGTTTTGCACTTTTTCAACGCGAAGTTTCATGATTTTCATGTACAGAAAAATTGAAAACAGAACGTATCAGTAACAGTAATTTGTTGTGTATTTGGAAAAGAAAACAATACACATCAGTAAAAAAAACCCAAAAAACCCCAAAAAAACAAAAATATAATCTCTGTAACTTTCAGCTGTAGATCTAGAAATCTAGATCTATAGAGGAAAGAAAACTTTTTTTTTTTAAATTTAAAAAAGGACCTCTGATGCTGGCACATTACTAAAACCAGGGACACCTATCAAACATGAAAAAATCAGCAGACATGAGAACAACAACTTTTGATGGATTGAAAAATTGAACATGCTCAAGGAACAAAATCACAACCCATAACCAAGATCTTCTAACAAGGGAAATAACCAACTTTTCACTTAAATGATACTTATTACGGTGATTACGCCCCTTTAGTCAAATGGCGAGTCGTTAATTAGTTAATTAATTGTTTTGTGAAAAAAGGAAAAAAACGTGAAAAAACGCGGATAATCCAAAATTATGCAAGTGTTGCAGAATTGAGCGAAAAAACGCGGCCGCGGCGCGGCCGCACAATCGCATAATCCTACGGGGACAGTCATATATGACCTTATTTATGCAGTTAATTGTGAGGGCCGTAAAACTCTCTACTAAACTAAACTAAACGTCTATCGTCCTTATCTCTCCTCCTTCTTGTTTGTGATTGTAACTCTCTTGTAACACCTCTAATCTTCGGCACTTCTAATATGACCTTATTGTGTTGCAAGTGCCGCAAAATAGTAATAATAAATAATACCTTGCATTTATATATATATATATATATATATATATATATATTGCATTTCCACAAAGTTGACAAAGAAGTGCTCAATGCTCTGTACAATAATACAAATGTACAAAGAACATAAGCAGCGCACAGCTCCTATAGTAACTCCCTCTCTCTCACTCTCTCTCTCTCTCTCTCTCTCTCTCTCTCTCTCTCTCTCTCTCTCTCTCTCTCTCTCTCTCTCTCTCTCTCCAGTACATCCTTGAGTAAAGACAATCCCACAATGCTTACCCAGACACCCTCGCACACATTGATGAATTCACACAGTCATAAATTCTTACAAAACAGAACAGCATGAATGAACGATACTAGAGAACATAATACATATACTGAGAGAACAAATATATTTGTATTGGGAATGTCGGAAATTACAGATTGAAGCTGGACTGACACAAATGCGTTTTAAGTACTGATTTAAATTTTGATAAAGTGGTGGACTGCCGTAGATGAGCTGGTAAAGCGTTCCACAGGGTGGGGGCGTGGTATGAAAAAGCCCTCCCTCCGAGTCTCTGACTTTTGCTTTGGACAGGTCTTAAAAGTCTTTTTGTCGCCGATCTTAAAAGCCGAGATGGTATGTATTCGATGACCATGTCACAAAGATATGATGGTGCAATGTTGTTGACGCACTTAAAACAAAGAACAATAATTTTGTACTGAATTCGTGCTTTCACCGGTAGCCAATGTAGTTGAATTAGCATTGGTGTTATATGCTCTTTGAGAGATTTATTTAAAATTATGCGAGCAGCTTGAGCTTGGTTCTGTAACCTATTTACCGTTTCAGTGGGAAGGTTTCCAAACAAAGAATTGCAGTAGTCTAGAGTGGAAAGGACGAAAGAGGAGATGAGGGTTTTGATACACTAAGATATGTTGACATTAAAATTTGTCCTATTCTGCGCAGTTCTAAATAAATTACTTTACATAGATGGTTTATATGATGGTGCATAGAGAGTTTGCAGTAAAAATAAACGTCTAGATTTTTCGCTTTATCTGTGAAAAGGATGTTATAATTCCCAACACATAATGGTCAAAATTGCCCCACAATATCCCTGGTTTAGCATTGCAAAACAGAAC